TCCCCAGCACTGCCGTGAAGTACATGGTGCAGAATGGAAAGTCAATCCAGAACTGAGCATCCTCCAGCCCAGGGATGCCTGTTAGGATGAAGGATGAGGGACTGGAGTGATTTGGGTAGGACATGAGGCACTGCTGCAGAGCTGGCAGGTAAGACACAGGAACAGCTGGCATAGACGGCGAGAAGAAGAGCTGTAGCAAGCACTGCTATGGACTCCAGCCACTTCTCAGGCACACAGACCCGTCATCATATCCTCCTGCCTCTTATCCAGGTACACTCAGTCGCATCATTGGCAAGATGCAAACACACATGGTCTTAGCCCGAATATATGGGAGTTATCTTACCTCTCCTCCCATCCTGGGCTGGCCTCTGGCTGTTGTCCCCATCCCTCCACTCCATAGTTTGGGAGTTACAAACTAGAAGTTGAGTACATTTAGTTGCCATCAGTACAAAAATCTAAGATGGGAGAAGGGGGAAGATCCAGAATACTTTGAGGGTGCAGCTCATCAGGACTCTGGTCACCTGCACACCTCTGCGGTTGTAAACCATATTCTCTCCTGGGCTGGTGTGCCCCATCTGATTCCCACCTTGGGAAACTGCAGCAGATGTATATTTGCAACATCAGTGTTTGTTGCCCAGAACATTTTTGCTGTGAGAGCTGATGCCCGTGGAAGCAGTGCACTGACCCTGTGCGTCTCCCAGCTGCGTGCCCCGCTTCAGGCCAGCACTGTCAGCTGTGTGGCTGTCCCTGCTGGAGTCCAAATCCAAACCACCCTGCTGGAGTCCCTCTCTGAATGGGCATCCCACCTACAGGGTCCCTGTCTCCTGCATTAGGAAGGAAAACCAGTCTCATGGCCAAAACTGTCCTGAGGCTGCAGTGTTAGTCCCTTCCAGCGCTAACCCTCCCACGGTGCGTGTACCTCCTTACCTTCAAGCCCTTGCCAAAAGAAAGAAGTGCTGTGAATTGTCCCTGTTTTACCAGGAGAACAGAGAGACAGAAGGGTTAAATTAGCCTGCTGGCAGTATGGGAATTAGATGAGTTTCTCAGGCACTTGTACCCTCTGTTTTCGCCAACATAGCAAAGGGCCAGACTTCATCTCCTTGGCTTTCCAGACATTTGACTTCCTTGACCCCTAAATAGTTTCATGCCTCCTCCAGACCGCTTTGAGTCCCCCACATGACACAAACCAACAGGCATTTCAGTCTGTTTCTAGTCATTGCTATTTGCAATGTAAGGACAAATACTGCAAAGCCAATATTGTGAAAATGCTGCCAAGACAATGTTATTTATAATAGTTTATTGCAAAGAGGACTCTGTTTGCAGTGCAATCAGCTGCCTTGGCTATAAATTCAGGGAGGCAGAGCCACAGCTGGCACAAGCCAGTCCAGCAGGAAATGTGTCTCGTGCCAGAATTATTTATCTGGAAAGGGCAAACACATCTGAGATCCTGTAATCCTGTGCTTGGAAAAAAGGTGGATACTCCCTCCCTCCTCTCTGTCAGAGGTAATTGATCTACAAACCCCATGTACTGTTCTGGGCAGTGTTACCTGTACTTCATCTTGTATAATAAAGCTATTCAGATTATTAAATAATGCTATTCAGCAAGCATCAGACTCAGTTTTTACTGGGTCCTTTTCATGTATGTTCACAGTGCTGTGCCAGTTCTGTTCCCTTAGCAGGGTCTGATTTCTTGGGTACACATAAACACATGAAATACCAAGGAAGCAAACTCTGTAGCTCAGTCTCTCTGACCAGCCCATTTGGGTCATGCAAAGATGCTGTCCCCACTGCACTTCAGTTTCATCCACGTTACACCTGACCTCTACATTTCATGCATCCTCCTCTTGACATCCCCTGGAGCCACGGTGCCAGTGTGCTAGCAATCAAAGGTGCCTCCAGACCCTGAACACACACACACACACACACGGCGACAGGTGTCTAGTGCCACGTCCCAGCCCTGCACAGAGCGTCACACCTGGAGGAGCTCTTCCTTCATCTCACCAACTCCAACCCAGCCTTGCATGGACCTCTCACTTCTACCACTAACCCCCAAGAATGACTGGAGTTGCAGCCTACATAAAAATGCCATGTTAGGAAGATCACAGAATCATAGAATCATTGAGGCTGGAAAAGACCTCTAAGATCATCGAGTCCACCCGTCGACCCAACACCACCATGCCCACTAAACCATGTCCCTAAGCGCCGCGTCTACACGTCTTTTAAATACCTCCAGGGATGGGGACTCCACCACTTCCCTGGGCAGCCTGTTCCAATGTTTCACCACTCTTTCAGTAAAGACATTTTTCCTCATGTCAAATCTAAACCTCCCCTGGCACAACTTGAGGCCGTTTCCTCTTGTCCTATCGCTCGTTACTTGGGAGAAGAGACCGACCCCACCTCGCTACAACCTCCTTTCAGATGGTTGTAGAGAGCGATGAGGTCTCCCCTCAGCCTCCTCTTCTCCAGGCTAAACAACCCCAGTTCCCTCAGCCGCTCCTCATCAGACTTGTTCTCCAGACCCCTCACCAGCCTCGTTGCCCTTCTCTGGACACGCTCCAGCACCTTGACGTCCTTCTTGTAGTGAGGGGCCCAAAACTGAACACAGTATTCGAGGTGCGGCCTCACCAGTGCCGAGTACAGGGGCACGATCACTTCCCTACTCCTGCTGGCCACACTATTTCTGATACAGGCCAGGATGCCATTGGCCTTCTTGGCCGCCTGGGCACACTGCCGGCTCATGTTCAGCCGGCTGTCGACCAGCACCCCCAGGTCCTTTTCTGCCGGGCAGCTTTCCAGCCACTATACTGTGGTATACCAGATACTGTGATTTTGGCTATTTTTGAGTTGTACTTGCAACAGCAGGGATGGGAGCAACACTTGCAGACTTGCTGCTGCTCAAGTGGAGCAATGCTTTCAGGCCTGTTGACACACTTCTGAGCGTTTTCTTTGTGCTTCATTGGCACGAAAAGCTGATAGAATTTTATTTTGTGCAATTAAGTGATTCAGTAACTTGTAAAGTGACAAGTTTTGCTCATTGCAGTAGTCAAAATCCAGAAGATTTCCTAGAAACAGGGGACATTACCAGGCATCTTGACCTAGCTTGCTGTACCCCATTAGATTTGTTGCAAACTTATTGTACTTTAAACAGTGAAACAGATTAAAATACCCTCAGAGAATGAGCTGCTCGGTATTGAACAAAGTGCAAAAGGAGTTGAAATCTTTGATTGCTAGCATACCGGCAAAGCTTCCCTGACTTTGTAAGGAAGGAATAGATCCTGGTACTTGAAGTTGAGATTTTAACTCTTTCCTCACTCATTTTTGTCAGCTCTGCCTCTCTGCTGCTAAGCAATAATCAATAAATTTACCAGATTTGATGCACTTAACATTTTGTGTCATTCTTAGACATTGCAAATCTACCAGCCATGCAGTCTGAGCCTGTAAAAAATATGTAGCCAACTCCTTTTGCAACCACATGCTGATCTGACTGTGCTAACAGCCACCCAGCACTCCTGATCAGAGTACAGCCTGTCATGAAACAAAGATGCCTTGAATTTTGGGTTTTAAGAGAGCTAGAGTAATGATCCAGTCCATACCCCTTCCCCAGTAGAAGATCAAAAGTAATCTCTGATAGATACATGCATGACCAGATGTCCCATTGCAGAAACTCTATACTTTCCCCAAATCACCTGTTTCAGAGCATTTTCCTAGTGTCAAGCCTGTATCTCACTGGAGCTTGTGACTTTTGTCCTTTCCATAAAGGAGAAGAACAAATTATTACCTTCCTTGTGGTGTTTGCCATCCTCTTCAGGTTTGCGCAAGCAAAAAGGACAGGACTAGAGCTATGATCAGGTAATTGCAGGTCTTCACAGATGACTGGGTCAGCGGATGTTACACCTATGCGTCTACAGCTTGTTTGAAGTTCATTTAACCAAGGAAGAGCTTGCAGCCAAATAATTAGCAATGTTGTAATTAACCTATGCAAGGAAGCAAGCTGAGGTTGCAGGTGTATGACTGGCAGTTCTCTACCACAATATTCACTTAACGTGGGATATCTAGAAGTAATGAAGTAGCTCATTAACTCAGTAAGAGACAAAGTCCACTTAGGTGTATTGGCATATCTGCATAGTAGCTTTTCTGGATAGATTGTCTTATATTCCACCTCAATTTGACTAAAATTTGAACTTGGCTCAGAGCTTGGCACTGCTTAAAAATACTGGCATAACACCAGATTAAATGAAAAAAAAACATCTACCCAGCTCACCTGGATGATTTGGATGTGACCCTGGCTGTACCTACATCACCTTCAAATACTGTTTCTCTCTCACACAACCAAGCAACTCCTCAACCTGCCAAAAGGACCTGCATGAAAATATTTATACGCCTTAAGGAACCTGATCACCCTGGGTGATCAGTCCCAGATCCTGCTGGGACTTCAGAGACACTAGTTGTCACAGAGTAGAAACTGCTGCCTGGGAATAGTCAGGCATAGCAATGGTTTGTAAATTCACTCCTCTTTCCCACTGCATGGGTTATGTCTGTCTCAGCATTAAGCAGTGCCAAACAGATCTTTGGTCCACAAAGGAGGAAGTTTTTATTTCTGGGTGGGCAAATATACCTCTAGGCATGACTAGCTGTTCTCCTGGTACACACACAATGGTGCATGTGTCCTTCAGGCTTAACCCTGTCGGTGTAAAACTCGCTTTGGATTTGGATCCAGCGTCACTGCACTCCTTCTGGGGCACAAGATAGCAGCCTGGATTCTTCGGGCTGTATTTTAATGTCACCTTTCATCTGAGGATCCTGAAGCATTCATGAACTTTAGTGAATGCTTTGTAAATGAGTGCTGATCCTTTGGACCTGATTTAGGTGTTCCCTGTCCTTGCAGTCTCTGAGGGTGGAGGTCATGTATGAACCGCAGACGATCGGTATGGTATTTAGGGAGAGGGGTGCTGGGGAAGGAGGGCAGGAAGCCATTCAGATAATGACCACATCTGGGATCAATGTCAGTTTTTCAGCTGTTTCAGTCTGGCAACTAAAACATGACACAAAGAACAATGACTTATGGGCGTGCTGGCCCCTTGGGCTACTGGTCCTTCAAAAGAAAGCAACCAAAACTAGTAGAAATCTGCAGAGACTGGAGAGGAGGAGAAGCCCAGAAGATCAGTTTAAGGAGCCTTGTGGCTTCTGTTGGCATTTTGGCTACAGACAAATAGACGGCATGGTGGGAGATGCTCTTGGAAGGAGGTGACCCATGCTGGGGCAGAGACAGCCCTGAGGGACCATGGGAGACCCACCCAAGCTGGGGCAGAGGAAAGTGAATAAGGACCAAGGAGCAGCAGAAGGAAACCACCAAGCACTGATCCAGACCTCCTGCACCACCGTCACCCCACCAAAGGGGCTGGGAGGGCAGGAGTGCAATGCATGGGGACAACATGGGGAGTTGAGACTAGGACAGGGGAGAAGAGATGTTGGAGTGATGAAAAATCAGGGGAAGGGGGAGGAATGGTGTTTCCCTAAATTTTTTTTAATTTTTTTTTCTTTTTTCCCCTCAATGCATTAATTAATTATCAAAAGTTTATGTTAATTTGTCATAAATTAAATTAAGTGAAAATCCCCAGGTTGAGACTGTTTTGCTCCCAGTAGAAACTCCTTGCTTCCTTGGTCTGTTTTTTTGTCCCCTCTTCTTCCATGTGCTGTTCCTGGCCACACACCCATGGAGACATGTTTTGCTTTCAGACGTGTATTTCCATCAGCTGGGCTCTCCCTGCATTCATGCTTCTCAACATACAATTCATTGGTGGCTTCGGGCATCCAACTTTTCAGCCTGCTTCTAATGTGGCACACAGGGTTGCCTTGATGTGTGATTTCAGCAGCTCTTGCAGCATCAGAGGGAATGGAGACCTTGGTGTGGTGGAAGGCCATCTCTGAGTCCTGCCCTACCACAAATCGGGTCCTGTCTCAGGGTCCCCACAGCTAAGTGATAGCTTCTCTCCCACTCCAAAGTCTGACCTGTCCATCAAGGGACCAGGGACATCTCACCGCAGACATGGAGAGAGGTCAGAACAGCTGGGGAGCACGTAGGATGGGCACCCAGCATCCATATTCAAAAGTACCTCTTCAGAAAGCCCTCACCAGCTGCAGTCTCACGCCAGGACTCTCTCAGCATGTGAGCCAGATGTGGACCTGCCAGGCAGCCTGGTGCTCCAGATGCAGTCCCATTGTATAATCCAATGGATGGGTTCCCATCCTTTGCAAGCAAAAGTATCGGATCTGTGTGCCTGAAATGGGGTGACTTTTCTGCTCTGAGGCCTCTCGTCATCATCACAGTGCAAACAGGAACAAGAAGACCTGAGTGGAGGCTTGCTCTTGATAATGCAGAGGTGAACCAACGAAGCACCTTGCCCACTGAACACCACTTTGTGATTACTGCATCCTTTACCCTACCTGGGGTCTCTGCACCTCGCTCGCAGTGCTGTGACTGAGAGGCAGAAGGTGGGGGAAACCCACCCAGACAGGATGAGACCTCTGGTAGAGCTAGAGAAGAAATCTTGGGGAATGCTGGGCACTTGGGGTGGTTGGATGGGCCTTCCAGAGATGGTGGCAGTAATTAATTTATTGGGTTTTGTAAAAAGAGACAGGGAAACTCTGCTGGGACTCTGGCTAGAGAAACAGCTCAGGGAGAAGGTAAATCACTGCCCTGCCTCCCTTCTTCTGCAGCAGAGGTTTCCTCCAACTCTGAGAGGCAAGAGCTAATCCTGGTCTTCTGGAGCTGAAGATGAGAGAGGGAGAATGACATGAGATTGCCCGCTGTTTTGTGAAACTTCCCAGGAGACAGCTTGGCTATAAACTCCCCAGCTGCAGGGCAGCTTCTGAAGTCTGCTCAGCAGGCTGGAGAGCCGGAGGTCCTTGGAGAAGAGGAGCTGTTTCTTACTCACAGCTTGGTCAGAAATCTGGTGAGTCATCCCAGGGAGTCTGGTGCACGTGAGTTGTGCAAGGGGGGAGGAAAGAGACGGTCTGAACCAAGCCCTGACGTAGGTCCCAATCTGTTGTGGGATGGAAACCCAGCTTGAATTCTGAGGATGCATGATTTTTTCTTAGTTTAATCTAGGAACTCATAAGAGCGCCTGTGCTGGGTCAAACCAGAAGCCTTCCCCACCTGGGATCTGCTCTCCAGCTGTGGCTGTGCCTCTGTGCACACCTGGTAGAGCCCTCCCAGGGGTGCTCAGGGGGTCCTGGAGAATCAGAGGCATCCTGGGAGGAGGCTGTCAGGACTGTGCCAGCCTCATGGTGCTGGGGGCCCACCTGCTGCCTCCTCCACCTGCTCCAGGGAAGGAGAGATGTCTTGAATCCAAATAAGCACTGAAGAATTTCATCTCTGAACAATGGTGATCATGCTTTTTACTTGACATCACTTCACACTCTTTTTGATAAACTCCACAGACTGACCTTGCCATGATTTAGTAACAAGCAGAATAACAAATCAACTTCACACGTTATAAGGGAGTTGAAGTGAAAGTGGCACAATCTGGGTATGTTTTGCAAAGTTTAATGATTCTTTCTATTATGTTTCATTGAAAAGAAAGACTTTTAGGTTTGCAAAGGATGCCTCTCAATGCAAACTCTCTGCTTCCAACAGCACTACCTCATTCATGTTTTTCTTGACTGGCATCCCTGGGCTGGAAGATATGCACCCCTGGACTTCCATCCCATTCAGCAGAGTGTTCAGCGTAGCCCTCCTTGGGAACTGCACCCTCTTGTACGTGATGAAGACAGAGTCATCTCTCCGCAAGCCCATGTTTTATTTCCTCTCCATGCTGGCTGTCATTGACTTGGTGCTGTCCCTGACCACCATGCTCAAAATGCTGATCATCTTCTGGTTCAATGCCCAGGAGATCACCTTCAGTTCCTGCCTTGTGCAGATGTTTTTTCTTCACACTTTCTCAGTCATGGAGTTGGTGGAGCTGCTGGCCATGGCTTTCCACATGTATGCTGCCATCTGCAATCCCCTGAGCTACAAGCTCCATCCTGACCATCTCCCTGGTAGTCAGGAACGGGCTGCTGGCTCTAGCCAGGGCAGCCGGGCTCATGTTGCCTCTGCCTTTCTCCTCCGTCGCCTGCCGTACTGCTGCTCCCACATCACCTCCCACTGCTACTGCAAACACATGGCAGTGGTGGAGCTGTCCCGTGCCAACACCAGGTTCAGTAACATCATCGTGGTTCTCTTCATCGTGGGGTTGGATCTGTTGTTCATTGGGCATTCCTACCTCAGGATCTTGAGGACTGTGTTGAGCCTGGCATTGAAGGAGGACAGACTGAAGGTACTTGGGACCTGCTTCTCCCACATCTGCGTCATCCTGGTCTTCTATACCCCTGTGGTTCTCTCATTAGTAATCCACAGGTTTGGTTGCCATGTTGCCTCTCACATGCACATCTTGATGGCTAATTTCTACCTCCCATTCCCCCCCATGGTGTATGGTGTCAAAACCAAGCAGATCCATGATGGGCCACAGAAATTAACCCTGCATACATAACTGCAGCAAGTGCATGATCTGCTATAAACAACTCCCATCTCTTCTCCTGAATCTTTCCAAGTTTAAGACTTGAGAATTGTGAGAGGATTGTACATATGTGCTGAAAACGGTAGCATTTCAGCTCATCACTGCCTGCAGCAAGCAGCAAAGCCTCCTTGGCAGACTGAGGAGGGTGCTAAATCCAGAGGTCAGCCTATGTAGAACTGGAAAATTTTCAGAGTATTCAGCTTTGACGTCACTGTGCTGATAGTGAGCTGGAGGTAAATATCATTCTTGTTTGAGCTCCACAGGCTGCATTTCTTCTCTTTTTGTGCGCTAAGGAAATGAGCTGATGGCCTGCAGGTCCTCTCCAAAGAGCTATTGATGCTGCTGGACCATTTAACTAAAGTGGGTGGGGGAAAGAGGGGCCAAACCATCTTGTGTTGGCAGGCAGCTGGGAGAGGAGTGAGGTTCGAGGTGCTGACCCTCGCTCCAGGAGAGGGGGTGGATGATGCCCACTGCTTGAGCACACGGCACTGGCACAGGCACAAGCCAACCCGGAGCCCCATGCCTGCTCCCAGCCTCTTGGCTAGACATGCGGAGCCCCACCTCCCAGCCTCTTGGCTAGACTAGACGAGGTGGGTGGTGGGTGATGCCCGCTGCTTGAGCACACAGCACTGGCACAGGCACAAGCCAACCTGGAGCCCCACGCCTGCTCCCAGCCTCTTGGCTAGACATGCAATGGCTGATGATGCAACTGCCTGGAAGAGGGTAGCTCACATTTTCCAGTGTGAGCTCTGAGGACAGTCTCAGTGAGGGTAAGGTTAAACCTGCTGCATGCACCTTATCCCCCCTCAATAGCAAAGGCAGAGCTCTGTCCCCTTCCTCCACCCCTGTATGCACTGGGGGGCTTGGGGGACCAGCTCCCAGGGTCATGGGAAGAGCACAAACACCTGTGAGCACTGGGGTTTTTTAGCTTTCTTTTCAGTTGTGATTGTCCTCATATGACTTAGATGTGATTTCTGTTGCCTGACTTATTTATTGATGTGTTAGGCTGCTGTAGATCTGATTCATAGGTCAGCGCTGCAAATACAGCACAAAAAAAAGGAAGAAATCCATAATACTTCTACAAAATTAATGTATCTACTTTCTTTATTTTCTCCAAGTCTTAGAATAAGAAATGTGTTTTGCTGTATAGCTGGCATATTTATAAATCTGGACTATTACAAAAGGAGATTCCTGTCCACAGTGTCGAATTTATGTGGCACAAGAACAAAGACTGGCCTATTTTACTAGTATATCTGTAGCTGTTGCATCCCTGACCCAGCTTTTGCAATCACAGCCCAGCAGGTGAGAAATCCCCACATCCAGCAAGCTCATGTTGTATGTGGTGGCTCATCGCCCACACTACCATGAGGGTCACAGGGTCTTGTGGGGTCTCTGTTTGCTTTCCCCAGGATGTCCTCAGCAGTTCTTCCTCCACTGGTCAGAGATCTAGGGAAGGATGTGAATTGGGATGTTATGAAGCTTTTTATGAAGCCACTATACCCAAAGTAGTAGAGATGAGGGATTATGGGAGAACTTTGCAAAGCTGAATGATGAAGTGATAAACTGGACAGTAAAAGTCAGTATAGATTCATTAAAACTGAGGTGCTCTGGCAAAACACAGCCCTATTTTTGCATAGACAATGTTGTGCTATGAGCTCTCCATCCCCGCGTAGAAATAGACATCTTGGAGTTATGACTGATGACTCCTTGAAAACATTAGTGGTACCCAGTCACTTCACTCCAGACTCCTCTCCTCTCCTTATTATCACCACAGGTTTCACTCAGTCCCCTCAGCAAGGCGATGATTGGCGCAGGTCAGGGTCAGTACACAGAGGTTTCTCTCTGCCACTCCTTCCTTCTCACTCATTTCCAATGCTCCAGCATGGGCTGATCCACAGACTGCATTCCCATTGGGGGTGTACCTGCTCCAGTGTGGGTCCTTCATGGGCTGCAGTCCCTTTGGGGGGCTAGCTGCTCTGGCATGGGCTTATTCATGGGCTGCAGTCCCTTCGGGGGCATACCTGCTCTGGTGTGGGTCCTCCACAGCCCACAGTTCCTTCGGTGAGAGTGCTTCTACCACCATGGAGCACCTCCTACTGCTCTGACCTTGGTGTTCCCCTTGCTGTTTCTCACTCTTTTCGTTCACTCCTCCTCTCTCAGTCTGACATTTTCTGCCCTTTCTTAAATATGTTTTCACAGAGGCACCACAAACTCCCCTGGCTGGCTCAGCTTTGGTGCATGATGGGTCTGTTACTGATCCAGCTGGAACCATCTGTGTCCGGCACAGGGCAGCCCCGGACCTCCCTCCTGGCCACCCCTGCAGCCCCCTCCACTACCGAGACCTTACCACCTACACCCAGTACACCTCCCCACAAATATCTTGAGCTGCTATTTGCAAATATTGTTTTGCTTTGTGCTGTGTGGATAATGAGTTAATTTGTTCCTAATTCAGGAAATGAAGCCCTTAATCAGATTTGTGCTAGAAATTTCTGCTTCCACAAAGTGGTATTTATCTGTTGCTTCCAAAAAATAATTTTCTAAATTATAGGCAGTGAATAAATGCAAGAAAAAGAAGACACAAAGTTAATATTAGATGAAAGTGTTTTATACTGTCTGTCCGTTGCAGTGCCTTTCTGGGGTGCGCTGGGATGTACTGCAAGGAAAGGAACAAGTCCAATCTAAATGTTAACTCCTGAAGGGCTCTGACTGCATCCATAAAGCCATCAACCTGTCAAGCTTGTGTAGTCTTCTACTACAGTACTAGTGCTTGCTGCATGAAGTATGTTTGCTTTACAATTTGCTGTCATAAATTATTGTTATTTGTGTTGTGATAGTGACTGAGGGCCTGCCAAGGGCTAAGGCAGCATGCTGCATAGTCAAAGAAGAGGACCACATTCCCCATCCCCAAAGCTAAGTCAAGAAAAGTCAAGAGCTGAGTGCAGTTCAATGGGCAGTTCTGTCATCGGAAATTTTAATTGAAATCAGGATCCTCTGTATCTGCTTGGTCCTCACCTCGTAGATGATGGGGTTGAGCACAGCAGGCACCAGGATGTAGATGTTCCCCATGGTGATATGGACCAGTGGAGCCAGGCCCTTCCCAAACCTGTGCAGCTTGGGCAGCTCAGTCAGGGGCACATAGAAGACCAGGACCACGCAGATGTGGGCCACGCAGGTGGCTTGAGCCTTGAGCCTCTCTCCTCTCCTTCCACGACGCCAGCCACAAGACAGCCTTGAGGATCAGGACATAGGAGAGGCAGATGAGGATGGTGTCCAACCTCATAAGCAGCAGGATGGCGGTGAGGCCATACACCACGCTGGGGTGGTGTTGGCACAGGCCAGGTTCATCACATCTTGGTGCAGGCAGGAGTGTGACAGCCCCTGGGAGCTGCAGAAGGGAAGGGGCAGAGCAGGACTTGGTTCTGTCTCTCCTCTGGAGCCAGGTGGTGTTCTGGCAGTCTTAGAACGTTAAGTGTGTTTATTTTTTTTATACTGAAATTATGTTACTAGCATGAGAGCTGCACTGTGGTACCACCAGAGCAGTGCTTAGTTACTTGGGAGAAGTAACATCATGAGGATGGTGTCCAACCTCATGACCAGCAGGATGGCGGTGAGGCTGTACACCACGCTGGGGTGGTGTTGGCACAG